GCGGCCGCTGCGCCACATGCCGCCGCCTCTACCTCCGTTGTTCTGCATCAGCTGTTAAATAATATGTCACTATCATTATGGTGATCAATAATTTATATCTTTCGAAGAAAAACATTTTCCTCGTCTATAATGAAAATATCTTATTTCTGTAAATCTCATTTAAAATAAGAAAAAATCAATCTCAATTCCTTGTAACTGTGTCATGTCTCAAGCTCTCAAGAACCGACTGGTAAGTTGATTGTCTTTGTTTGGTAATAGACCGAAGAATTACCAATTGATTCCAGAAGCTCTTCTGCGCAGGTTTTCTGTGGCGCCCAACGCCCTCCGCGTTCGCGGTGCGAGGAGGGGCCGAAATGCGGATCGATACAAAACGTAAGCAAAATCACATAAAATCACAAACAAAAATATCTACACAAAAATACCACTTTAACTTTTAGAACGAGAAAAACATAACATTGTGAACATTATTGTAATTTTCTTTAAAAGCATATTAAATTTCTAATTTGAATGCAAACTGCACCTCTTCTCTTACAAAACATCTAGAATGCAATACGAAGGTGAAGCAAATAAGCAAAGGTATTGAATTTTAGTGCTTACAGTAGCTTAATTGAAATATCGATGTTATTGTAAAATTGCACTTCGACATCGATACACGTGACCATAAAGTTAATCGTTTCAATCTTTTAAATAATATCTTTGCGATGAAATATTTCTTTATTTTTAAATAAGGTAACAAACAACGTAACAACTTAATTGTTCACTTTCAATAAAGGCGAATTGGTGGTAACATATGGTAATTTAGTGTTACCATGTCGCATTGTAAAATTTCCATTGAACTCTTTATATTTAAATAATTGAACAAAAGTGTTCATATTTTTTGGTAGAATAATGGTAATTCTTATTGTAATGCTTGATTAAATAAAAAAATAAATAAGAAACATTCAAATTAAATTGTGCAATACTTCTTTCTAAATTATGAAAACATTTTGTTTACATTTAAAACATGGAGAACTAGTTAATGCATAAAACACGAAAAATAGAAAGTCAACCTAAAAATGGGTAAATTTACATTTTTTAACTAGCAACAATAAAAACATTACTAAATTTCCCAATTCATCCATCATACATTTTGTAGGTGATACTTGATCAGTTTGAGTAATTTATGGTAGAATATCACATCGTTAGTGATGTACTTTTCATCGACATGTCGAGTTGCGACGTAAATCGATATTTTTAACAGAAAGCGCCTGCCATTTCTCTGTCTTGCTGACTATTGATTTCATTCCGGTATTATAAAGATTGCTGTCTCGCTTTCTCTTGTGGTAAAATTGTATGCAACCCTTAGTTTTTTTTTCTATTCCAAAGAATATAAACGGCGATATAATGCTTTGTATTTGTATGTGATTTCAGAAAATAAATATTTGGACTTTTTATTAGTTATTTCTACAATTACTGTACTTTTTATTAATAATTTCTGAGTGGAGCATAATAAAACGAAGTGTACATCAGCGTAATAAAATTAATTTAGGATGATTTTCGTTTGACTTTTTCCAAATGGTTAAGAATTATTGTTTGAAAAAATTAACTAGGATGGCAAGCATAGTCTGACTTACCGTGTGGGCGACTGAAGTAATTATGTATGCTGTTCGTATACTGTAGAATATGCCATCACGCATTAATCCCCTTGACTCTTTCACAGTCTTGCCGTCAATATTTTTAACGCAATCTTGGATTTGCTTGGCTATTCGGATAACGCAGGGTTTTTGAAAATAAAACATTATAGTGATGAAACATTTATTTTTTTCATTTGAAAGTATACCAAGTTGTAGTTACACGCCGATACTGAGATTCAAATGAAATGCGAAACACAACTGTTTGTACAACACATGAGAGCAGTAACTCGAGTGTCGTTTGATTGCTTAATTTACACAACAAAATCAACAATTTAAAAACATATTAACAAAAAATACATGCAATATTTATAATTTACACAGACAATACATTAAACAGAAACAATATAAATGCAAAGATAACAGTTATACATATTGGTCAAGCTAAGTACAAAGGTGGAAATCGATTTGTAACATATGAAAATGGGATAAAATGAAAATTCAGCAATCAACACAACACTTACGGCTCCAGTGTTGCCAGTAACTCTAGAGTCGTCGAATATTGCGCTAATATATTTACCACTACCTATCTATGCCTTAATTAGACAATACATTTATACAACTTAAATTAATGACAAGAAGATAACGTAATCATAATACATCAATCATTAATAATAATCAAAATAAATTGTGCTAAGGAAACAGTGCGGGCGAGGGACGAGGAGCGAGGGGCGAGGAGCAGAGCGGCGGAGTGTATGCCCATTCCACCCTCTGAACATCGGAACGATTCGTGTTAGAGATATAGGGGAAATGAAACATGCGGCTCAGAACATCGTACAAGTCGTTGCGCAGACACAATTTTATGCGCACTGCGCAGCTGACCTTGGTCCGCCATAAAGGTTGAGGTCGATAATTTTTCTATCACCTTAGAAAACTGTTGTTTTGGATATGCATGGAATATTATTTTTAAATAAAAATTATCGTCAATTATAATGTGTTTTCAATTCTTTAAAATATCTTCATTTAATTTGTTTTTAAAACATTAACTGCTGCGGAGTCGACTGGGTACAAACAACTTATTCAAGCCTAATAAAATAATACAAATTGTGACAAGCTTAAATAACTTTCAAATAGCTAATTCTAACTTAAATTTAATTGCTATATCCCGACTCTATAGGCAGCTCTTTTTCATTCTACGCGAGCGTACAGACTGAAAAGACCTCAAAAAGTTTTTCTATTAGAATCTAACTGCAATGCATCGGATTTACCTCGAATTTACACCTCAAATAAAGTAATCTTTATTTCTAGACTTACAATTATGATCTGCAATTTTAAAATACTATAAAAATCCTATTAAAAATCTTCGAGCTTTTTGGAGCAAAAAGCAATGAGATTTATTTCTAGTAATTATCAAACGATTAAAACCGTGTTGCAACAAAAATGGTAACAAATTAGGGTTTTAATAGAAAAACTTTTTAATCATATAGAACTGAAAATATACAATGACATATAAATGTAACAAAACACCAATTATTTTTATAGCATCAAATTGGTAATAAGAATTCAATTCCAATTTATTGTTGCACAACCCTATCGCTTTTTTTTTAAAGTAATGACGTTTACGTTTGCGGTTAGTTCAGGATGTTTTTAATTTATAGTGTACTTTGTTATAAGGCTTGTGGTACAATAAATTGGCATCATGAAAATTACAATATAATGGAACGGATGGAATACTAAAGCATTGTAACTCGATAAATATGCACATTATTTTTGAATGAACAGACGCAGACGTGAAGCGAGTTTGCCTTTACAAGGTGCCGGCGAAGTGCGCGGGTCAAAAGAGTGGACCGACTACACATCGCATTGGACGAATTAAATAAACTAACTTAAGTTATTTATTTCAACACATTTTAAAGATATATTTCATAAATATCGTGTTTATATCTTCATAAATAATATTTGTTTAATATCGTTTCTGCTGGCCGGATGTATTTTTGTTTGCTCGCCTCTGGCCCACTCTTTTAACCTTTCCTCAAATAGCTCTTAAATATTTACAAATAGTATATAATATATAAAAATACTTTAAATTAATAGACACGATGGCACTCGGTTGCGTCGTAAAGGAATAGAAAAATCTAAAAATCGATTTCACGATGAATTCGATATTATTATATAAAAATTTACTTTTGACACATCGGAGACAATTCAATACACGAAACATAAAAGTACAGGGCGGGGGTTATCATGCATTGAAAAATTATACTAACACTAGTCAGTAAGGGAATGTATAAAAATTACTTTCAACTATATCAAAATGTTAAATCCTCAACAATAAATACTATAAATCTTTGGTTTCATTTAGTCGATTGATTACAAAAGTTCTCGATTATACAATTATTCGTTTTGCAAGAGAACGCGTGCTCGTGCGCAGCGCGGTCGTGTGACGTCACATAACTGGAGCTCATAAGAATAACACCTATCGGATCGTTTACGAGATGTAGGAAAAGTGCATTTACATTAGTGACGTTAAAACTTCGAATTGTTTCGGCAAAACACTCGACGTGCGCTCGACTAGTCTATTCGAACACTCTTATTGTACAAGCTGTATGGGAAACGCAAAGCAGATTAAAGTACGCGAAGCAGAAGATTTTACATGAATATTACCATACTTTCATCAACAAATACTCAACAGTTTGTTTTTAATTTATATCGTTACGAAATAACAGGCCCATTTTGACAGCCGTGGTTATCAGTGTAGATTTCTTTCAGTTTTCTTCTTAACAGTTAAAATGGGTCTATTAAGTTGTGGCTAAAGTATACTTTCCACAGAGCGTACTCGAACGAAAATTAAATTATATGGTTTTTTATTTCTAAAAGAAATAATCAGTAAGACGTTAAATTTAGACAGTTTATGTACAGTGGTAAAGGAAAAACTGCAAAGAATCATTACAAAAAAAAATACAGCTTGTCAAAGTAATTTGGTAGGAGGAGGGCGAGTCGGTCTCGAGCGCACGTCGGAGCCTCATGCACAGTGTAGTTTATACAGAGAGAAACGATGCGATGAGTTAATGTAAATGTGCAAGCTTGG